TAATTATGTACCCCAAGCAAGACTCGTAATAGATAGAGTCTATGAGCTCCATTTTTTTTTAAATTTAAAATATATATTATTTCATAAAATAATTTTATACGTAAATGTCAAACTTCTTTCAATATTATTACACATTCTCAAAAAAAAATCATAATATCAAGACCTACTTCCCTCCAAAATGAGGTTCAAACAGGGCAGAATAACATCATTTTGTGATAAGTGATACATAATTATTGGGTGATTATTATTATTGTAACATTTAAAAACTCAAATGATTATTATTGTAAGAAAATAACTTCAATGACTATTGACATAATTATTAAAAAATTTAGTGGCTAGTAATGTAGTTATAAAGCAGAAAAAAAAAAAATTTTGTCTGATTTAAAGTTTAATGACATTTTTCACACATAGAAAAATAACTTCAATGACTATTGACATACTGTTCTTCCTAAACCTCTCCAGATACAACACACACTAATAAATGGTTTTGAACACTTCTAAGTTTTTAAAAGAACACAAAATTAGTCATTAGATAGTGTTGGGATTGATTGTAGAACTCATCATATAGAACTTGGGGGAAATTGTAAAATATTGTAAGCGAAGTAGTCACGTTGAATCATGTGTCTTCGACTGAATGTATGAACGTGAATGAATTCCTAAAATTTTACTAATTTAGGAATAATAAACTTTTGATATTCGATTCTAATTCTACAAAAATGAATTGTATTAAGCGAAAACAAACCAAAACCTTAATTTTAGTGGCTTGCAAATTTCTATAATATAAAATGCCAACTTAGTTCTTGTTACGACTTATATATATAATCACCACGTGACATCTTATTTGAATGGTGGGACCGGCCCAATTGAATCAGGGTGTGTTTTCTTGACCTCTGACATGTCAATCGAGGCCCTAGGTTATTCCGAGACCCATTATCCGAGGCTATCATGGTTAGCCTTATTTCGAGGCCCTGCTCCGAGGCTCATGGCACCACCACGAACCTGAGACTCTTTAACAGCTGTTGACCAAGTGTGAAGATTCACTCATGATGAAAATCTCTATTTGAATTATTGATGTGACTTATGTAAAAGTTTATTTGTGTAAACGTCTTGGCCGAGGAGATGGTGCCACGTGTAAATTGATCCAAAAGTCTTTATTTCATTTGTAACACTATAAATACTTCTACCGTGTAAAAAAGAAGAAGTTAATGAAATTCCAAATACTTGAAGCAGTATAATTTTCTCCTCTCTCTTGTTTAACAGCGTATTTCTACTACAAATTTTGTTCTTTATCGATTGGTTTCTTATACAATCGTGTTACATTTATCTTGCCAGAAGCTTGAACGGAGACGTCTTGTGTCTTTGAACTACTTCCATGTTCAGTTTCTGGAGTCATCTTGACTGTTGATCGGTATTAACGTGTTGGATCAAACTTACGTGTGCACAAGTGGGCCCAACATCTGTTGGCAATATTTTTTGAGGTCAACGGTTCTTGTTCAAAGAAATGGAAAGAGAATGGACCAGGAGGGAAAAAAATGCTCAAATCTGTCCACAAAATGGAACAGGCTATGTTCAAAGGTTAATTTAGCAAATGGGCTAAAAATAATTTTGTCGAGGTAAAGGAGACAAGCTTTGAGGGTTCTTTTACCATTCTCTATGTCCATTTATAGTTTGACTTATTCATTTGTCATTTTATATTTAACCCAAGAATTTTCTTTTTCATATTCTCTAAAGAGAGTTGGCCAAGTTGACAGCTAGCATCCAAAGGTCAAATATGTTAGTTTTTTTTTTTTTTTTTTT